AAGGAAGAAAGGAAGAAAGGAAGAAAGAAAGAAAAGTAAAGCCCAGTCTGCTACCTTTGTTGTCATCAACATCTCCAAGTTATGGTCCAGGGCCAAAGTCTAATTTCTGGCCTCCAGATGTTAATACTTAGGAATTTGGTTAATATTTAGGAATTTAGTCAGAATGGATGATTCCTGAGAGGAAAATATTTGGCAACATACCGTATATCTGTGAAGTCAGAAAACCTGGGGTTAAATAACTAGATTGTCCCTCAATATCTCTGTTACCCTGGTCAGATCGTTTAACTTTTCAAATTCTCGATTTCTTTCAATTTATATTATCATGGAGATAACTACAGTGTCTTCATTTTAGTATTGTTATTATGGTTTAATGGGATAGTTCTTATAAAAGCATATAAAAATTCTTAGTACAGTGTACACTATATAGAAAACACTATTATTATTATTATTATTATATTAATAATCTAGATGGCTGAATGTTATTTTTACAAATACTTAGATCCAACTGTTTCAAAGATATTAGCATGGACAAATAGCATATCAATTTCAAAATAAACCATCGATCAGAACTGGGACACTTACAGCCAACATCCAGAGTTATCTTCCCAGTGGCTCGTCCAGCTTCATTCACAGCCACACACATATAATCCCCAGCATCCAAGTCTTGAGTTTCTTGAATCTTCAAAAGTCCCAAGAGGGGGTCAATAATGAGGAAAGTTGAGGGCCTCAGTTCCAGATCCCCTAAGTCAAAACAAGGAGAACATTAAACACTAAAGTATTTACATAGTTTACTCTGCTGTTGGTTTGATTTCAAAACATCTGAAGAAAACTGATTGTAAAGTTTTTAAATACAAGTGTCTGGCACAATGTATACACTTAAACAATGTTTATATAAGGACAGAATGAAGTGTTTCTTGGCATTGAGCTGATTTATTAGTCTGTATAATCTACAGGCCAATCTATAGCCAAAAATCTGTTCCTATGTGAATTTTGAACTAGTATTTCCTACTGTAGATGTATGGAAATAAGAACACATCCTTCAAAACTCCATTGAGGCAAGGGTAGCAGCTATCACCATGGTTGTGTCAGGTAAGAAGAACATGGGGAGATGTGAGTTGAAAGACTCTTGGCTGGGAGAATTATAATTAACCAGGAAATGCTTCAAAGGGTTCTTGATTTGGTCAATGACTAGGTTTTTGATTTGTTGAACGCTATCAGTTTTTGTCTTGTGGAAGGTGTGTTGCCTGAGAAGCATCTGATGATGACTAGAAGAAGAAGGAAACACAACTCTCAAGAAAGGCGAGGGGAAAGCTTATTGGGAGAAGATAGAAAATGTCTGAGAAGGGTGTTGTAATATCATATCTGTCTCTGAGGTCACCTCTACTAAATCTGCATTGCTCATCAAATTTCTTTCTTTTTGCATAGACTAACTGGAGTATAGGCCAGAGGTGCAGGGGGTGATAGGATTCACCAGAGATGGAGTGGGGACCAGAATAGGTGGATTTACCGAAAAACACTGCTGAGGGAAGCAGAGGGCAAGACAAGAGAGGTCTGCTGCACCATATGGGTTTGCTCCCTGACTGGTGATTGAACTCAGCCTGGAGCAGATATAGTGCTGAGACTAAAACCTCTAGGTCACCAGGGAGGACCTCATCAAATCTCTTTATATTGGAGTTATGAGCCTTTTGGAAGAAGCAAGTAGGAGGTGAAAGTATATGGAATGGAATTATATATTGAATTTGACCTTAGAGTGAGGGTAGGATAACCCAAGAAAGCTATATAATGTGTGGGTGATATGTATAAGCTCTGTCCTTGTAGCATGCCAAATCCCTTGAGAATCATTTCTATTTACTGGCAGGCAAGGGCTCAAAAAATCCTCCTCCAGGGGAGCTCCTGCCCTCAGAATGGACCAGTGTCATTAAAAATGCCTACTACTGGAAGTTGAGTGTCAGCTTAGTGTCCATATATCACATTCTCTTAGTGAGAGGTAATAAAAAACTTTTACGGGGACCCTAAAAACTTCCAAGAGGTTTGTATGATTGTTCTGAAGCCTAGATCTCAAGTCAGAAAAATCTAGCCAGGGGCAAGTCTCCAAAATGTCACATATTGACCTGGAAAAGCCATGTAAAGCCCTGGACCTGAAGACCAAAGAAGTAACTCCCTTAGCTTTTAGTGAACAAAGTGAACCCCAGAGCTGAAAATTCTCTAGGGCATCACAAAAGGCACCAATCAACAGACTCAAGACAACAAACAGACAATTCTCTCTTTATGTGTATAATCTGTGGAGGAAAAAGGTCAGAGGAACCCTAAATTTAAAAACAAGAAAATTACATTAGCAATCATCAGTGCCAATAGTAAAGCATTTTTCAGCATTCCAATACTATAAACCCCAACCATTTTTTTAAGCTTGCTACTACATATCATACAAGGATGAGACAAGCAACCAAAGCCATGTCTATGTGCCTCTGGGAAATTTTCATAAATAAAAGCAGATGATGTTGACATAAACTTTCCTCCCACTAAGGGAGGATGCAATGTAGCCTAGCTGTTCATCAAGTATTAAAATGTTTGAACTAAAATGCATTTAGATTTTTGGGATTTACTTCTCCTTTTTTTTTTTTTCTTCATTTATGTCATGGGACATAACAGTATGAAATAAAGGCCTTTGTACCAGTAGCTTTTTTCAAAATAAAAATGTTTAAGGAATAACAGTCAGTAGTGAAAGAAGACACAAATAGGAAAACACCGGTTTAATTAAATTTGCATTATTATCACATTTTGATAATCTTTCTTGGTTTTTACTAAAAACAAATCAGTCTTAAAGTTATGGAGAAGCCAGAGAAAAATACAGAATTTTGACATGGAAATGGAATAGGGATTGTTTACTTTTTATATTAGATAAGAAGAATGTTATAAAAGTAAAATAAATAAACTTTCTAACTAGTACAGCATTTAACCATCATTACCATTAAGGAGGATTCTTTTTCTGCTGTAGTTTAAATCTAATCCTGACCTCTTGAATGTAAAGACTAACAGATTGTTATTCCTGGCATAAGAGCTTTTCAAGTCAATGATGGCAATTAAGTGACTTTCAAAAATGTTTATCTCAAGGTACTAATACATATTTAAAAATGATTGAGGACTTTAATGAGTTCTTGTTTACATGGATGATATTTTTACTTAGTATTTTAGAAATAGAACTCAAAAAATTAAAAATGCATGTATTTATTCTAAATAAGAAACTCATGATATTCTAACATAATGAATATATTTTATGAAAAAAGTTATATTTTCTGAAACATAAGAAATTTAATGAGAAGAGTGATGTTACACATTTTTGTAAATCACTAGAATGTGAATGATTAGGTTCACAGCTCTTCAAGTGGATGTAACCACACCACACCCACCACCCATAGTCCTCTATGATAATCTACTTTTTAAATATTTTACAAAAAATATCCTCTAAATCACATTTTTATAGTATCTTTGGTAATTCCTTGAATCCATTTTATGGTGTATGAAATTTTAAAAATGAAAAATCCAAAATCTCTGTAGCATTTGTGCTCAAAGAATTCATTATTTTTGATGGATGAATGGAATGTAATTTGTTAATAAGTGATGGGTACCAGGGACTGGGGAGCAGGAGACATGGAGAATTGCTATTTTAATTGATATTAAGTTTCAGTAATTCAAGTTGAATACATTCCAGAGTTCCACTGTACAGCACAGTGCCTGGTAGGTTTAATTAAACAATATTATACTGTATACCTAAAATATTTGTTGAGGGCAGATCTCATGTTTAGTGTTCTTACTATAAATAATAAAACTATGTATAAAATATATATATATATATAAGTAATTCGACACCATAAATAAATAACCATCCATTCAACTAGAATTGCTAACTAGAATTGCTTTAAAAAGATATGAAAAGTATTTACATAGTCAGGATAAGAACTCATCTTTACCTTTACCCCTGTGGTTTCCATAAGGTAGGATTTTCCTAATCCATTTGGAATCTGACCCCCATTAGAAATAGGAAAGGAAGGCCCATGCCTCCCAACTCCCCCCCCCCTTTCCTTTCTGGAGCTGGTCTGAATGCAAAAGCATTTGACCTCTAGTTGTGCTCTGAAGATCCAGATTCTACTTGTGCAATTGCTTGCCTGTGACTGAGAGAACTAGTTGGCCTAATAACTTCTGGGTCAGGGCAACTCTGCCTATTGACTGAGAGCTTTGGAGCATTATTCCTCCAAGGTCACCTGCCAATACTTCACGCCCACATTCTAGCTCTATTGGTTCTTAGACAGAGTCATGGATATTACTTTCTGTACCCACTGAACCTCTATAATTGACAGAACATAATAATCGGTAGTCAGTTGCACATTTGGAAGGACTTCCTAATGCCCTCTAGCTTCTGAGCCATTAACAGGGCCAAGTCTGAGAGGAACATTAAGTTATTCAGAGAAGTAGCCTCAACTTGAGAGAATGAAAAGTTCTGTATGAGGCTGCCATAAACAGTCAGAGAAATCAGTAGGTTCTGCTACTTTTTAAAGTGTTTTTCACACTTATTTTTGTATTTTTATTTTAAACATAAATTGCTTTTATTTTTTTTAATACTGCCTGGGTTTTTTTTTTAAACTTATTACTTTAAAATCCGTACTATTTCACTTGTAATTCAAAGGCTTAAGTATTTTATTTAAATAAGTAAAATTAGTTTACCACAACTGAACTAAAGTAAAAAGCAAATCCAAAAATGCTTTCCTGACTTTCTTTTTGTCTAAGCCAATCTGCCATGGTAGCTGCTGCTCTGTGAGATTTGTGATGGCATCACAAGGCATAAGAAGGAGAAAGATGCCAATAAGTCAACCAAGACCAAGACCCAATGCAGAAACCCGGAGGCAAGGCCACAGAGAAGACGTGGCCCAAAGACAAAGATGGGACAAGCTCAATAACCTCATCTTGTCTGACCAAGCCACAAACGACAAACTCTGTAAGCTTATAACTCAGCTCTGGTGTCTGAGAACTGAAGATTCATTACTCCTTGCCCAGGGTAGCCCCTCAGAAGCTCCTCAGTAAAGGACTTATCAAATCAGTTTCAAAATAGAGTTCTAGTAATTCACACCAGAAACACTAGGGGTGGAGATGCCGCAGCTGCTGGTGAAGAAGATGTATGTACAGGTCCTATCAACTGCACATTTGAAAATTAAAACTTTACTAAATTATATAAAAACTTTCTTATCAGAGGAAACAGGAAGACTTTTCACTTAATGTGGAAAATCATGAAAATGACATTATCCCCTAGTTTCCATCCCTGTTTTTGATTTGTATTATTTGAAAGTATTTCTTTTCTACATAAAGCTCTTCTTTTTCACCTCATGTTCCCTAAGAGTTTGAACCCGAGGTGAATTCATAATTTTGTGATTATGACATCAACCCGTTGCTATGGGAATGTCTGTGATTTAACAAACAGAATCATAACAATAGTGCTTTGTACTATTTAGCATGTTTCATCTGAAGATTAAAAAAGTATTTTGCAAACTGCATCTCAATAATCCTAGCAACCTCCCTATTAGGGTATTTTCGGGTATTTTTATTTCTCATAAACAGAAGAGTAGACAGAAATGAAACAGGATGCTTACACAGGTATCTGCTGTTAGCATCTGGGACTGGGCCTGGGCCCAAATGCATCCTCAATAAGGACGGATGTCACACAACAGTTATTTTATTAGAGAATCACAGGGGCATGATCTTTATGTTACAAATAGTGGCAGATCACTTCTTTTTTTTTTTTTTTTAAAGATTTATTTATATATGTACACAGAACTGGGGTACCGGCCAGAGGTATGGGGGGGGAGGGGTGAGAGGAATCACAAGAGACAGAGTGGAGAGCAGAACAGGCAAAACTACTGAAACTCACTACGAAGGGGAGCAGCAGGCAAGACAGGAGAGGTCTGCCGCGCTATGTGGGTCACCCCTCTAGCTGGGGATCGAACTTGTGCTGCAGTGGCTGCAATAGCTTCATAGCGCTGTGCTTTAACTGGCTGCACCCAGGGAGGGCCTTGTGGCAGGTCATTTCTATGCTTGAATTAAGTGTCTACATGCATAATGCAGCTGACCAGTATGTACATTTGTCTTTCAGTTATGTGTGAGAGTCTATGTCTTTCTTTGAACTTCGATATGTCTTTATTGAATGTGTCCTCATGAATCTAGGAAACTTTCTATGAGGGAAAGTCATTATTGCTAAGAAAAGTGAACCGAAATCAGCAAAGCTATTTTAAATGTTAACTGAGTATTCTTGGACAATTTTCTTCAGGAAACAATCCTAAACTAACAAAGAGAATGTTCAGCTGGATTAGCAAAGGCGAACTTTTCCTGCTTTGATTTTCACGGTCCTATAATCCACACCAGATGTCAAATCCTGAAATTCAGAGTTCAGAATTGTGAACCATCATTTCTAGTGAGATCATAAACACATTTTATGAGGCTGCTAAGTCATGCACCAAAACAAATTTTTAACAAATCATTTTTTTTAAAGAGAAAACAAAGTTAAGTGAACTAGACATGAACATACTTAAGAACTGTACCTTTGAACCATTTAACTTGAGGTGGAGGAACACCAGAGGTTTTGCATTCCATAATTGTTGTATCCCCAAGGGCAACCAGGAGCTCACTCTGAACAACAATCAGTTTTGGGGTTTCTGAAGAAAACAAACATACAAATAGTTAATATCTCCATAATACCACCTGCACCCCTGTTTGCATTTACTAAATAAACCAGTTTCAAAAACCTATCAGTATAAATGTGCCTGAGGCCATTTCACTCTTTATTAAAAGAAAAAAAAATGCTCCTATTATGTACTTGCAGACAGAATATGTAAAAAAAAGATCATTTATAAACATCAAAAAAGGATGTTAGGAAAAATAATTCTGAAAAAACAAAGTCCAAACATTTCAGGAAATTAAGGGAAAGATCATCATGAAAAAATGGTATATGAGGAAAGAAAATCTTGGAAAGCTGCATACATACTATAGAAACAATATTAAAGGGATAAGAAGGAAGGATAGTAGTAATAAAACTATAATCAAAGAGCTATCATGATAAAACAGACTTGGCTAAGTGAAGGCTCAAGGATAAAGGTGAATTTGTTATACAGATTTCTATAATTTACAATATTCATGTTTAACTAAAAGAGACACTTGCACTCTAAGGCTACCATGTGCATAAAAAAGGAAAAAATAGACATTTCCCATTTGAGTCTCTTATACTCTTATTATACTTTTGTTCACTACAAATATTCTCAAATTTCTTTTCTTAGCTGTTTGCTTCACCCTCTGGCCTAATACGTTCACTTACTACACTTTTTTAGGACCCCCTCACCTCAACTGAGGTGGTAATAACCGAAGCCAAAAGTTATCTTAACAAAGATTATGTTACTCTCCTATGAGAACATCTTCAGTGATTGCATGCCATAATCCCCTGGTTTGGCTTTTCAAAAACTGGTGCACATTTTCTTTTTACCCTTGCCTTCCATGACACTTCCTCACTTATCATAAAGTGGGAAGCTACTGATAATCCAAAACCAACCCCCTCCATTCTCCTGACTTCCTGCCTTTGCTACTACTGTTTCCTTTGCCTGAAATGCCCTTTGCCACAACTCTTTTTTTTTTTTAGAATTTACCATTTTATTAGACACATGCATCCTCGATGCACATAGTCCATACAATTTGTTCATTTGGAATTTTTAATTATTATTCTTTATTCTTTATGAACTTTTAATTGTGATTAACACTGGAGTATCCCATCAAGTTTCCACACCACAGTGCATCCACCACTAACTTGCCCACACTCCACCACTACAGACCACCGTACCTCCCTCTCTGTTTTTTCTCCTCCCCCCTTCCTCCTTGGTGTCTTGTTCTGTAGTCAGTCAGCAGTCTGTAACGTATCAAGAGTTAGTTTTTCAGCTTGTCTTTATCTAATTATTCATTTGGTTATTTTATATTTCACATATTAGTGACACTATCCACTATTTATCTTTTCTTTCTGATTTATTTTGCTAAGCATTATCCTTTCAAGCTCTTTGCCACAACTCTTCAAATCCCACTCTTTATTCCAGACAGAGCTTAAATTCTGTCTCCTTAAAGAAATCTTTGTAAATTCCCCAGTCAGAATTAATCTTCCCTCTGCCAACCATCCACTATAGGACTTATCCGTCTGTCTTATGATATTATTTAACATACATCAACTTCCATTATACAAGCTCTTGAAAAATAAGGACCTCATGATTCACGTTGCTTATGTTACACTGCACAATCTCTAGCACAGCATCTTTTACACTTGGAATGATTAATAAGTTAAATGAATGACTATTTTGGCTTCATTATGAGTGAATAAAATTCAATTCCTATAATGACCTATCTGTTTCAATTCTCTGTCTATATTCTTGTCAGTTCCCTCTCTGGGTGTCTGTGAACATTTGTTATCACCAAATCTGAGCCCTTTTTTTTTTTTTTGTAAGCTCATATCTATAGCTGAAACCAATTTTTTTGCAGACTTCCAGGTTTAATACTTGTGATTCTTTTGTTACCTCCTTCACCTAAATTTACTTCTAAATTGGGGCTCTGTTATATATCTTCCTCTCCACTCAGTTTCACTAACTTAGTATGAATGATGGTGAATTAGAATGAGTGAAAGGGTGGGTTGCTGGCCATTAATTATTCACAACTTGCAAATTAACATTGAGTATGTAATGTCTTTATACTTTATTTGCCTAAGAAAGAATAAATTAAAAGAAACATTTTATTCTATAGTCTTAGGGTATATTAGGTTATATATTATAATACATTATATATGTTATATATCTATTGTTAGATAGAATAATCTATTATTAAATACTATATTATAGAATAATGTTCATTCAGTAAACATCTGAGATTACAGGGGGAAAATGCAAGATGAAAAGTGAAAATATTAACACAAAGGAAAAATTTTATTTTAAAGAAACATTATAAAATAGTTCTGAATGTAAATGAAAAATACAGCATGGATTTGTGGTAAGCTAGAAACAATATAGAATTCATCAGTGTATGACTAAAATATTACAGAGAATAGATGAACTGTAAAAGTACAGAACTCAGTGGACATTTTGTAAGTTTCCATAATCTATTAGCTTCTTTTAATTCTGTTGAATAATGAAGTTGTCATTTCCTGAAATTTTTAACTTAAACAAGTTACAATATTTACTTTAATCAGTGTAGGAAATGAATAGTCATTATAATAAGGAGTAAAATTTATCCCTAATATTAACTTTTAGAAAAATACTTTTACATTGCTTGATATGATATCCACTCTATTTTAATTACTTTTAAAACTGATTATACTTGCCAATATATCTCAGAGTAGAAGTCTGTTTATCTGTTCCAGCTGAATTACTTGCCAGGCAACCATAGATACCTGCATCTTTAGGAATTGCATTTCTGATAAACAAGTTACCTTCTGATGTCATCCTGTACCTATGGATAAAGAAACAAATTATTTTCAAATATCTTCAAATATTTTGGAGTTGCATTTTTTGGCTGTAGTAACATTACTTTATAATAAAAAAAAGTAATAATAATATATTCATATATCACTTTCTGTGTGACAGGGACTGATCTAGAAACTTTTACATTCATTAGCATTTTAAGTTCAGGACAATCCAATGGGCTAAATACTAATATCTGTGAGCAAAGTGAGCAAAGAGGTGACATAACATGCCTAAAGTTAGAAGGAGCAGAGGAAACAACTGCACTAACTAATTTTGCTTCAGATGTACAGTTAAGGGAAAGGTTCCTTACAATGAAAATCTGAGTGAGGCCTCATGTCATACAGAGTCAGAGATCAGACTAGGGATAAAAAATCAGCTTATACCTAGGCCTTCTTCCCTTGCCAAATGCAGAGTAATAGGAGCCTGATGGCTGGAAACTTCATTGTTTTATGTTCCACATGTTCACTTCACTCCTTGCGCTTGAGAGGATTCAATGTCTTTGAAAAGCATCCAACACAATAAAATGCCTCTCGATACCATTTGACCAATGTTCATAGGAGGTACAAAGTGCATTACATACTCTCTAGAGTGTGTTCTGTCTCTTCTCTCTAGTGTTGAATACCATGACTTCAACTTTTGTAAATGTATTAAAACTACACATTATGCCACAAAAAGTTTATTAACCTCAATTCAAGGTAACCCAAGTATTATGGTGTTATTTTTCCAACTCAAAGTATTGGGTGTATTTGATCCCAGCTGCTAAGATTAAAACTTTAAACTTCAACCTCTATACATTTATAGTTTATTATTATTTTTTAATTTCCTGATTATTAGAAAATCTAAAGCTGTGTGTTTTAGATAAACCTCCCTTAATCTTAGGGATTTAGTCAGGGTTGTTTTGTCTTGAAATTTCATCAAATTTTCTCACTCAATAAAAACAAAGAACATGATACAAACCCAGTACCTGTGTGAACCCATGATAATCATATCGTTAACAGTCCAGACAATCTTTGGTTTAGGATAACCTGTTGCAGAACACATAATGGAGACCTCAGATCCTCCTGTGAAAGACTGATTTTGGGGCATCACAGTGACTTTGGGTGGTTCTGCAAATAGAAATATATATAAATATTGTGAAATGTCAGTTGACCTTGATTTGAGGAGCTTCCTCTGAGAACAGATTTGTGGACTTCTCACCACCACCCCTTGACTACTGTGTTCCTCTTTGAGTGACCCCCATCAGAAGTCTGGCCCATCCGTGCAGGAGATAAACCAACAGCAATGGGAGCAGAGGAAGTAAATTCTCCTAAAGGTTAAAATGAGTTTGAGCCTGATGTCATGTTTCTGTGTCTCCACTGGTTACTGGGTGAGCCCTTGCCACTTTGCTTCCACCTCTGACAACTGGCCTCTGCTTATACAGAACTTCAATATGAGCTTATTTTCAAGAAAAGTCTAGATAGGGTCTTTGTTTCTTCCCAAACAATCATCACAGGTTTGGAGCCAAAATTTGTCTTGGCCGTTCCCTGCTTTATTTGAACTGCTGCTCTTTCTCCTTTTATTGATTAAGATTGTAAATTTGTTAAGATAAGATTACATCTTTCATGTGATTCTACATTCTACATTCTACAGTATTTTAAAGTCTCTTGTATTTTATTTAGCAACTTGTAAATTAAAGACACAACTGCTGGCAGAATATGGGCTTAGAATTTCATGCCTCCCATCTCTCAAGATCCGGCTCTATTGATCATTTGCCTCACACCCTAGGATTTGTGGGATCAGCACCTCACAAAATTATATCAGTTATTTAAAGTTGGTATTGTATTACACTTCTATTGCAAAAAAAGGAGGACCTTTAAAAATAAAATATCAAATCAGGAATTAATTATCACATAGAAAAAAAAATTCTCTGGGGTCAATGGAATAGTGATATATCAAGTCTAATCAGTTACATGATTTATAGCCATCGTACTACAGAGTGAGAACTAATTTTCAGAGAAGGTACAACCATGAAGGAAATATTAACTACATGGTATAGTATAAATAGCTTTCACTCACAACTACCATGAGTTTATCATGAGTTAACTAATTAATTAATTAATAGCATAATTTTTTTTGCACAATTATTAAGATCCAGACTCTGTGCTTGCTGGTAGAAATACACTGATGAGTCAAATAAACAGGATATCAGTTGTCCATTTAACCGGGCTTTTAATATAAATGAGATTAAGAAGTTCAGCTAGTAATATATGGATATATTTATGGTATTTCTTTCTTATGAATTAGTCTAGAAGTCGTGGCTTAGTTTCACTTAGAAAAATTAATCTCAGGAATCTTCACACATCGGAAAGTGATACCAGTGGTAGGATTGGGTAGTGGCAGCTACACAACTGAACAAACATAATTAGTCCCTAATTGCTAGCAGCTTTCTATTGCCCTCCCCCCCTTATATTTCCTGTTTAGATTGTATTTTTCAAAATACGATTGTCTTTGAAGTTAATGTTTGAAGGGTTTTTCCGGCCTGAGGGGTTGGATTGACAGCCTCGTTATTCCATGGATTCTTCTTGGTGAACATAGAGCGAGGGAAATGTATGAGGTCAAAGACACAATGGTGATGGCCAGTAACTTCAAATTGTGACTCCATCTGGAGTTCATCAATTTTGAGGTGCTGGGGTTGTGGAAGAATCTTCAAGAGATGAAGGAGGGTAATAAACACTTCTGTCTTTTTAAAATAATATTAAATACTCACATTTATTAAGTCCCATCTTCCTATAATAAAATATTTTTCATGGCTGGTTCATTTTGATATAGAACTGCTGAAAATATTCAGTAGCTCTCAAGACTTTTATCTAAATATGATGTCTTCCAAAGGAGTCTGCAAAATTGGCCTGGTATCTCTCTCCTAGAACAAATCCCACTGGTAGACTCAGTAGTTCAGTTATCAAAGAGAAAACAACTGTCAGCTACCCAACCCAAGACATAGAAAGCTAAGGGGTCATTTCTCAAATAAAGCATGCGTACAGGGTGCTGCTCTGAGTCATGAACTAAGTATGTTAAAAAATACAGATGGAATGACATCATCTCATGAAGGTGAAAAATTTACCATTGCCCTGGAAAGAAAATGCCTGCTGATAAGAAAATCACAAAGGATAGGAATAATCATAGGAAAGCAAAGTTGTATTCAGACCAAATAACAGTTGAATAAAGGTGGGAAGAATCGTGCATCCTGAGTTAGTTTTCAAGCTCATTTTACTACCACAATCATTACTATTATGACCATATCATCACTACCAACAATATAAACCACCAACCTTATCATCATAAGTAACCACCTGCTTTCAGTTAACCAAAAATAATAGGAATAAGATACTCTATTTAAGTATTAAGACATCCATTCAGTCTTTTGATTTTAATCATAACAGAGATGCCAATGATTTAAAAAAAATAGATTATACAATACCTAGATAACAAACACTAATTTAAGATTTGGCTGTCTTAATAACAAGAAATGTATTTTACGTGACCACAAAAACAGTCATTGATTTGTCTATAAGATTATGGCAGATGTAATTTCACCTAATACCTGGAAATCATCAATGTCTTTTTAACATTCAGAAGGCATACTGTTAGTAGTCAGAGGTGTGTGCCTCTTGTACAAAATTCTCAAATAAAAGACTAAGAACATTCTTTTCAAGGTGATTTAATCATTATTAACAAATTAATCAGATAATGGTAATGCTTTGAGTTACTCTAGTAACAATACATTTTTTCACCAGTAGTATATTTTTATACCAGTAATATATTTTATGCCAGTAGTAATTATATTTTTACCAGTAGTATATTTTATACCAGTAGTAAAATGAGAGGATTTAGGCCAATTTCTTTGGTCTTTCATTCTTTCAAATAACAAACATTTAATGACTTTCTTTTATATTCAACATTTTATGCTTTCAAAGATCTCCTACCATACTACATACAAAAGCATTTGCTATAATGTCAGTGGCTAAATCTCCTTCTATTTTAATTATTAGTCACTAATTAAAATAGAAAGGTGGGCAACTTATTGAATGTCACACCCATCATTTTCCACAATAACTATATGAACAGACATTCGACAGATAAAGAAACTAAGGTTCAAAATGGCCAAATAAACTAGTGCATCTATACCTGAATGATGATAATAGCAGTACCTTATTACAGATTAGCTAATTTAGTATCCCTAAAATATATAAATCTTGGAACATAGCAGGTAATATGTGATTTTTGGTGTTATAAATATTCCATTATATAGTCAAATATAACAAATAAGGAAAAAGTATATTACTTAAAATATATATGTACATATATAATATGTATATATTTATAAATAAAATTTGATCATAATTTTCATACCAGTATATTCTATTTATTTCTTTACAGTATTATTAAATAACATTTAGTGTATCTTATTTAATCCTGAAATTCCAGACATTTTGTATACTCAAAGTTTGTTTGAAATTTGAATAAAAAATAGACAAATATAATTTTTCCACATTTCACTGATTAAGAAAACATGTTAATATCAATGATACCTGGCACAGGTTAAAAAAGAGTTATAGTGATGTCACAAGCATGTGCTTATGAAAATATTAATTTTAGAATGAAGTAATTTGGGTCCTGAGGGTTTTTATCAATCATCTTGAAAAATATTTCCTTTTTCATTGCAGTGTTCTCTGTTACAACATGGACTAATTAGTGACAGATATACACGCTTTCCTGACACCACAGAAAACAAATGAAAACCTCTAATGTTCATACAGAAATAACATTAGCTAGGAAAGGAAGTACTGTCTGGCTCCTTGATCTCCATTGTGTTTATAAAGAAAGATGTTAGTTATCTACTGCATATGCTTTAATTTAGGGGAATACTCATGATCATCTTCACCTATAAACATCCTCCACATAAATGAGTAATTAATAGAATCAATAGAAAAATTTTCACATCTCAGATAAATAGGAAGATTCCCTTAAACTTGAAATTCAGACCACATATAAATACATACATACACCTAAATCTAAGCAGTACAAGTATTTGGAAACTCAGCAGCCTAAATTTAACAAATTCAAATATGTCACCTTGTGACTGACAAATTGCTCTAGGCTATTTTATAAAATTTTGCAAAATTCACTCACATTATAATTCTTTCAATCCATTAGAGTGGAATATCTTTCTCTTTCTTTGTGTATTCTTCCATTTCTTTTAACAATATATTTTTCATTTTGTAGGTCTTTCTCCTCCTTTGTTAAGTTTACTGCTAAGTAGTTAAATCATTTTGATGTGTTTGTTAATGGAACTGTTTTCTTTCTCTTAGAGCTCATTGTCTGTATATAGGAACAAAATTTATTTTTGTAAATTGATTATGTGCCCTATTCCTTTATTGTACTGTATTGTACTGTTTCAATTAGTGTTTTTGAGGAGTTGATATCATGTTATTGACAAATAGTCATAGGTTTATCTATCCTTTCTCAATGTATTTCCTTTTATATCTTTCTGTTGCATAACTGCTCTAACTAGGACTATAATAAATAGTAGTGGTGAGAGTGAACATCATTGTCTTGCAGCAGATCTTAGGAGAAAAGCTTTTAGTTTAAACTTTGAGGGGTTGTAAACTATGATTTACCCTGTATAGGTTTTATTTTGCTAGGGAACATTCCAACTATATCCATTTTTTGGAGGGTTTTTGTCATAAATAGATGTTGTGAATATTATCAAATACTTTCTCTACATCTATTTTTACTTTTCCTCTTATTGATGTTGTGAACTACAATGATTATTTTTATATTAAAATGGCCATCTTACCCAATGCAATATACAGATTCAGTGTAATTCCTATCAAAGTTTCAATAGCATTCATCAGAAATTTAAAAATATAACAATTCATATAGGACACAAAAGACCCCGAGTACTCAAAGCAATCCTGACAAAAATGAAGAAGAATTGTGGTAGCAAACCTCAAACTATATTACAGAACTATAGTAACTAAAACAGGTGGTGCTAAAATAAAAGCAGATACAGAGACCAATGGAGCAGAATTCAGAGTCCAGAACTAAACCCAAGATTTTATGATCA